GGTTGCTGATTGGTGGAGCTGGTCGGCCGTCATCTGCTGGGCGGAGCTCCAAGCTTTCTTTCTGAAACAGGTGGTGGTTTGATGACTTTATCTCGTAATGTTACGACTTTATTCTCTAAATATTTTCTGACTTCATCAGACACGCTCAGAGCAGTAAATCTGATTAAACCATGTTTATCTGCATTTTAGTTGTTTCTTTCTTTAGATTACGCGCTATACACCATGAGGTTAAAACAAAGCGAAAACATAAAACTCAAAAAGACTAGATTCATATTTAAATCCAAAGCCGAAAAAGTTAGCCACCGGGAGTAGCGTAGGATCCCATTTCCGGTGCAGATCGGGCATAGAGTGATAAAACAGAAAGGATTTTAAGGCATTTATTTTCTCAGGAAATACATTATTAATCTTAAACATATTATATTTTAGTATTTTTACTGTTTTTGGGGAGGGAAAACATCATTTAGGTATGTTTAACTAAATAAGATCGAGGATGACCTGGGTGTATATCTGGATGTAGAAATGAGCTGATGGAGCATGCGCAGAACGGATCGTGTTTCTGTGACGGATCGGGTAGCGACAGTGCAGGATCCGCTCCGCTCCGGCCAGGGCAAGATCCGCTATTTCAATCACACCAAACAGGAAATAGAACGGCGAGAAGATCCGGTTTGTCAAATTAAAATATAGTAACAACAGATCGGTAACTAGAAATTAGAGCATAATTCATCTATATTTCAAAAAACTAACACCACTGATTTAAAAAGATTGGATGCAAACTATTGGTCCTTCAACAGACCAGGAAGCAGATTTCTCATCTCCATAAGAAACCGAACATCTGCTGGATGCTGATTGAGATTTTTTAACCTGTCATTTTAAATTAAGCGTTCATTCCTGCATGTTTTGCTCCAATGAATTTAATGATAATATTGCACATGATAAGTCTGAGTGCAGCAATAGGGGAGGAACAGCGGAGGCTGTAGGCTTTGCTTTGTGAAGGAGGTCTGGAGCGCTGCGGGGCAGAGCGGAGCGGAGATCGAGGAGCAGCTACAGCTGAAACTGTAAGACGAAACCGCAGGTTTTCGTCTTACAGTTTGAGTTCAAAGCTCGTAATGTATGTTCTCACACTGTGCAACCCGACGCTACAATCTACTGAGTGGAAGAAGAAAATCCTTGTTTGCTCACTGAACGATTTGCCCACGACCACCTTACGACGGCCGACTGAATTTCAAACATGTTTGATTTTCTCCCAATTTTACGGTTCGTGATGGTGAGGTGGTCGTTAGAGGCTGATCGCCCCTCGTTACCCCCTGTACGCTACACCACACACCATCAGGCTGAAAGTCGGCCCGATCGAAAAATTCTCACACGACTGGAGAATCGGCCTGAAAAGTCAAAGAATTGCACACTGTATGCCCGCTTAAGGGACTGACAATAAATTTAATTATTTTCTTATAATGGAAAATGAAAATAAATCATAGTTTTCTCCATTTTGAGGGGTAATAAAAACTTGAATGAATTAAAAAAAATGGACATAAGGCATTGTCTGATTGGGCTTAAAGAAAATTCTCCTATTTCCTAAAGCTGTTGAAGAGGGTGGAGAGAGAGCCGACCCTCACAAAGCCACCATCACTGGGATCCCTGCTCACCATGTTTGTTTCGCTGCAAATCACAGACGAGACCGAGCTCAGCCCTCAGCTTCTGAACCAATTGAGTCCTTTTTAAGGCCACTAAGTTAGGAAGGGTCATGCAGTCATCTGCACTGGACATACGATCTAGAAATGAGTAAAAATGTCTTCAATTAAGTGTATTTACCCTTAATTTTAGCAGGTAAATGAGAGACTTTGCCAATGGAATGAGAATTTTTACTCTTAGAATAAGATAATTGGATAAAATACACTTTAAATAAGACGATGCAATTGTGTTTTCCTATTTTAAGTGTAAATTGTCTTGCTCCATTGTCAAGATGTCTATTTTACCTCCTCAATCCAAGAACAAATACACTTATTTTAAGATTTCCATTTTTTCCAGTGTGGTGATGAAGGAAGTCTTGCACAGGTCCCTAATAAATGATCTATTATGCTACGTTCAGACAGCAAGCAGCAGAGGCAGCAGGAGCAGCTAGTTTATATGCAAAGTCAATGGTTGACGCCATCAAGGGGCAGCAAAAGGTCCTGCAGCGCATCTAGAGCAGCTGAAGCGGCGCATCATGAGCTTCTGAGCTTCTGACACTTCAGAACCAGCAGCTGCTGGAGTTCGTAAAATTTTACATTAGCTGCTGGACGCCTCATCAACCAATGAGAGAAGCTGATCTGGGAGCTGGCAGGGAGTCAGACGCAGCACTGCTGATGCAGAGCGCTATGATCACTCCTCTGAAACAGTTTATTAACGCCTAAATTAACTTAAAATGTAGAAACCTGCCGGCAAAATATGTTCGATTTTATAATTCTGGTCTAGACTCCACTAATAGTAGCGGAAAACTGCGAAGATGCGGCCGGGCCAGAGGCAGCTGCTGCTCGGGATTCCCAGTGAAAGCGCACTGCCAGTATGTGGGGGGTAATATGTAATTTCTTGTCAAACTTCCAAACATTGTATTTGAGAAGACTGAAAGACTCCTGGTCAGATTTGAACCATAAACCATAAACCACTCATCCTCACCTGGAGCTTTGGGTACGCCCGCTTTGTCCTCATCACAGTCGATTGCTGTGGTCTCTTCAAACACCTCGTTGGTCTCCTGACCCTTCTGTCCATCTGCCTCATCCGTCCCAAAATGGCCTCCTGGGACGTCCTGGTCATAAACACTGGCATTAGGGGGCGTGACGCCATCTTCTTCCATAGACGCCTCACCAGCTGAGGCGTCTGATCCCGTGTAGACCGGAGGAGGAGGAACAGGAGGCAGGGAGTCCCGCAGGACAGTGTATTCGTAGGTGATGTAAGGCGTTCGGCCGTTCTGGTTCCACACCTGTGTTCAGACCAGAGCCCATGAGAATGAAGTCACAAGGTCTGTAGTTCAAAATAACCAGGGTCGATGTGGACGTACCAGAATATTTATCGCCTGGTCGATGGGACCTTTGGCAACGATGTACTCAATCCCGGTCTCATACACGTCCATGGGCCGTCTGTATTTAAAGATGGTTCCTGCTGCATGGAAGTTCTGGGGACTATCCAGCTTGTAGGCGCCATTAAAGAAGAAGTTTCCCGCCTGGTCGGTCACCGCTAGAACAAAGCAAAAATGGAAAATCTAGAACAACAAAGATGCTGGAGAGAGAGAACGTTACCCATCTGACCTTTGTCTGAGAGCGTACCGAGAACGTCGGCTGACTTTTTCCTCTCGATGATCTGGATATCCCAGGACCCCTCAGGGATTTGGGTGATGAAAGAATAACCTGAACCAGAGGGAATAGTGAGAAACGTAGGCCTTTCTCTTGGCGTCTGCTAAATAAACGACAGAATCAAAGCCTACAGAGGCTCACCCAGAGTGGTGGCTCCTCGCCGGAAGTTGCCGGTGACTCTGCTGCAGCTGCTGCCGTCTCCCCGGCAAACGCCACACTTATCCAAAGTGTTGGATGAGAACAGAACGCCGTCGCAGCCGATCGGCTGGGAAGTGAAAATGGAAGCAGGAGACAGACATCAATGTTTTTATTTTTCCTAGTATGAGCTCTTAAATACAGGTGGTATTCAGAGGCACAAAGACATAAAACAGACCCACAAAAATGTGCACAAATAAGGACTAGTTGTATTAACTATACATGTAAACAGAGTTTTATGGGGCCCCCAGGAACTTGGGGCCCTACAGTAGGCAACTGCCTAGCCTAATGGTAAATCCCCCCTGGGTACAGGGAAGAAGAGCCTCAGGGAACATAAAAAGCTACAAACACTGCGTCAGCAATGTGAAAAGTAGACGCATCATGTCTAAACCAAGCATCAATGAGTACAAGGTTTTTCCAGTTTACTCATATCCAGTCATATTTCTGTCATAGCGGACTGGGAACGACAGCCACTCAGACATTAACTGGTAAAATCCCAGAGTAAATTTAACAGCTGCAGACCTAAAGCCTCCAAATTAGCTGAAAACTCAAGTTTCCATGAGCCTCCAGCTTCGTCCAGCCACGTACGTCACAAACGTTGGAGACATGTTCTCTGAAGAGGAGAACGAACAGACACATGCACCTCTGTTTCAGGGAGAGCTGCTCTTGGCTGGCTGCTCTGTGTCAAGAGTAAAGAGCAGGGAAGGGAATTTATGGTTTAGGTAGCACCGAGCCATGAAACAAATACTATACTTTTATGAGGAACAGAAAATGAGGATAAAGATGATGAATGTCGGCTTTAAAACACACGTGGCTCCTCAGGCAGGCCACCAGCAGAGCCACTATAAGCATGTTCACAGATTATAACCAGTGGGAAAGTGTTTGTTCTCCCACTGAACATATTTATACCCTTATGGGGGTGTTGGCCCAGTGGTGCTGTGAGAAGGTTGCAAGTACCTGGTTCGATCCCAACAGTCTGCACTCTGGGTTCCTGAGCAAACCCCAAACTGCTCCCCGGGTGCTGCACAATGGCTGCCACTGCTTCCCAGGTGGATGGGTTAAATGCAGAGAGGGAATTTGTCCCATTTTGGGACAATAAAGGTATTTATATGAAACAATGCAGCAAATAGGTTTTAATATCTAAAATGGTTAGCTTTGAGTAAAGACGTCAGGATAAATTTGCATCCACGTCGTCATGCTGCAGGTGTTTTCCATTTATGTTAAGAAAGAAGAACCGATATTAAGCCGGGCATACACTGTATGGCTTTTTAGGTCGATTCTCCTGTCATGTGAGAATTTTTTCAATCGGGCCGACTTTCAGCCTGATCGTGCTTCACGTAGTGTACAGAGGGTAACCAGGGGCGATCAGCCTCTCATGACCTTCCGATCAGTAAAATCAAACATAATTGAAATTCAGTCGGCCATCTTCAGGTGTTTGTAAAGAAATCCTGCTGTTGAAGCAGAGCTACGAACCGATTTACCAGAATCTCGAGCACTGCTCATGCGCAAATAAGGAAGTTCTTCTTCTTGTTGGAGTTTCGTCGTACAGTTTGAGTTGTAGTTGCGTGCAACGATTGAAAACATTGCACAGTGTAAGCCCGGCTTTAAACAGAGGGGGTGGACTTAGGTTTCAGCTCTCAAAAACCTACAATGCAGCGATTGAGTTGATTCCTTGCTGCTATCATTTCAACCCCTCCACCTCCATTCAGGGGACAAAACATCGTGTCTGGGCAGCCATGCCAACAATTCCCCCTTTCAGAGACATAGACCAGTATCAGGTATTGCAGGCTAACAAAGAAGCCAAAACGACCCACATGGTTCAATTTGCATGTTTTCTAAGCAAAAACAAGTTTTTGATCCACTCTATTAAGCTACGAACTCAACGCTTATTCGGACATTTTGAATTGAAAAAGCTTTCTGGATGTGAAAAGAAACGTCTGCAAACTTGGCAGCAAAGTCCAGTGGATTGTTTTTATTCACTTAAGAACTTCTTTGGACTTTCCAGGAGACAGGCTCTGGGTCCTTAGCTCCACTTTAATAAACGCTTAAAGTCTCTAAATGTCCCAACAAGTTCCAGAAAGACCTGATGGAGCTCCAATAAGGACTCAGACCTAGACCTTATAAAACTGCCTTTGGTTTGAGAGAACCTCATTAACTTTTTCTCATCATCTTAGATTTAAAGTAGCTTAATCCTAATTCTGATCTTCCATTAGTTTATATATG